CGCTAACTGCCTGTCAAGTAGGGATCTACAGTTCTTGCGAGAGGTCATACGACATTGAAGTTCGAAGATGTCCATATAATGATCTTGTTTACAACCTTCTGGCAACAACTACATGTAATTCTGCCTATTGTTTCGGTAATACTATTGAGTGTTTATCATTGTAATAAAAATCATATTATGCTTCAAATTTATTAACAGATATAAACAATGCTTTACATTTAATACATGTAATAATCATTTTTATTTGTTTATACTTGTATTTCAGAAAATATTTACACCTGTGAGTATATGAGTTTTTAGCCTTATATTGAACAATTTAACATCGATTCAAACTTTCCGTTAACTCCATATTTTATTCTTCATTCTTTACATTAATACGGAACATGTAACATGTTTTATGTTTACCTAACAATAATGATTTAGTTTTCTTGCTTTGACTGGAAAGTGTAAAGTGATTTAAATACTTTCATTAAAAAGAACGAGAGTTTAAATAATTATAAGTAAACTAATATAACAAGAAGCATTTAGGCGGATTTAAGTTCAAAGATAATGTCTGTAAATTCGTCAAACAAGTGAACTATGGACCACACTTTCAACATCAATAGGCTAAAATTATACATTAAAAATTTAATTTAATTCAAAGACAGGAATTTCGATAGCTATCTCAAATAAAATCAAACATTATTAAAACTTTATATATTTAAAATTTTAATTCGTAGGTGTCGATAAGAAGGTGTCTAATGTTGAAGTCGAATTCCATAACGTTACATGGAAAAGTCTCCGTAACTTTTATCTACCGATCTGGAATTTCGTCTGCAGCTTTGTTCCTATCAGTCAGATTTCACTGTTATATACCGTGGAATGGTATGCAGATAATGAATGGATTGCAAATTATACAGTAGATGGGTATGACATTTATGAAAAAACGCTCACCTCTGAGGACCTGCTGAATTTAAATAAAACGATAGGTGTTCAGGTAACTTTCTTTTAGCAGTTCTGATATAAGCAGCTTAGTCAAGCACATCTTATTTGGAACATGTTTTCGTAAAAATAAATAAGTTTATAAAAAAAAACCTAGGATATTAACAGTAGATGGAAGAACAGGGGTAATTAAAACATTACAACTTTTCTTCTAAAAACATAAATCTATGCATTTAGATGAATGATGATTATTAGTATAATATTATATCAAAAGTGATAGAAATTTTACCGCATGCGTCCTCATGATTGTGTCTTTTGTTTCGACTCCCCTTAAAAACAGGCAAATTGAAGTAACAGTTCCTTTAGCAAACTAGCTCACTTAAAGTCACTTTACGTTTGAACTGAACGCCCACATGACTTTTTCTGATAGATTTTTGTCCCTCTGTCCGTCCGTTTATAAACTTTTCATATTTACCACTGTCATTTCTAACAAAAATTTTCACAAACACCCTTCCTTGAAGGGGATCAAAATTTGTTCAAAGGAAAGAAAACGCCCTCTACAATAATAATTCTCACCTTTTAAAAATCTTCTTTTAAAAACTGCCAAGCCAAAAATTTTAAAGGTATGTGAAACTTCCATTTCATTTTGTAAGTTCAAGTACATTTAAATCACAACCCCCTGGGGTACGGTCATACAAAGTTAGGGATCAAAGATTTACATCGGTACAATCTTATTGATATGGATGCATCTGCATGTACTTTAAATTCCAATTTATTCAAAGCATGACCCTCAAGGTAGGGTTAGTCTATATCTTTAAAAATCTTCAAAGCAACAGTAAATCTATAAATTATTGTTATTAAATGAATATGGAAGCATCCTCAGATAGCGAGTTTGTTTAAATCATGAAACATATGGTTAGGGTCGGATCACAATGGGGATGAAAGACTGACAAATGAGAATATAAGAGAAAATGTGCTGATGAAAAACAGCATGGCAATATTGACTCAGATAAGTGTCCTGGCCCATAAACCTCTTGTTATCAGTCATACTGAATACATAACATATCAAATAACAAATTGTACAAATAAATAAAATATTGTCATAGTAAACACTAAACATAAAAATTTCAGAACTGTATTTATGGGAGGAAAATAGTTTCATTTTCATAATGAATAATTGATGATCTGTTGATATGTTTTTTTTTCATTTCATTGATTTTATATCTAATGATTTATATTTATTTAAGCTTCAATGTGCAGTCGGCGCTAAAAAGGACATTGAGAGTACCTCCTGCTTTCATGTAACAAGTGATCAGTTTCCTGTTGGATTTGAGGTATGAACATAAATATACACAAATATGGTATAAAAGGTGCAATAAACAAAATTAATGATTGCTGCAAAGTCGTTAAACAGTATATCCTCCTATCATTGATGGATGTATCATTTTTATATATTATACTTTCATGTAATTTACTTGAATCTGATTCGTCAAGAAACATTTGATAAAAAACACAACTACCCGCTAAATAATGAAGCCACGCCCTCCTGCGTAGCAACAGTCAACATTGCTTGACGACGGGTGGTATTCCAAAAAATATTGACTGTGCAGAAATGATGCGCGCACGGTTCACTGTAATATGTATTTGTATAAAACATTCAGTATGATATGAAAAATATTGCATGTAGTTGAGTGTAACATTGAAAATTTTCACCCCAAGAAAACCATTGTCAACCTCGGCTGCGCCTCGGTTGACAATGGTTTTTTGGGATGAAAATTTTCAATGTTATCTCGGCTGCGCCTCGGTTGACAATGGTTTCCTTGGGGTGAAAATTTTCAATGTTACACTCAACTACATGCAATATTTATATAATGTCGTATTCTTATGACAAAGATAACAATAAAAGAATTCATCTTTACAGATATTAAATACAACGCTAACTTTGGGTCTAAATGGAAAAGAATCAATCTTGATTAAGCAAAATATTCCCTATGCTGACATTTCTTTACCAAGTGAAAATCACACGGCTTCACTTTATATTGACCCCTCATATACCAATGATCTGAAGACATACTGTAAGGATGTGGGGAATCCAAAAAGATGTGATATTGAAATAATTGGAATTGGATACAACTTCCAATCAACGTTCAAGAATGTAGTTCATGAATTAGAGATACAGAGCCTAGATCCGTTGGACTACTACATTCAAAAACAAAGACTCGTATTAAGGCTTGGGACAAAATCAAATCAACCTTTCTTCTCAGGCGTTACTCTTCCAGATATTAATGTAATCATTTTATATCAAATAATAAGCATGATTTACAAATAAAACTAAATATATGTTACATGTAAATTAGTACAATGCAATCCAGAAAGATGATACTGAGATACTTGTATATTCAGAAATGAGCATTACATGTAACAGTGTTTTGCTGTAATTGAGCTCTTCGTTGTATGTAAATCACCTTATTTTGTTCAAGAAAATATTTATTATTCTAGCAAATTTTATGAATGATTTTCCTTTCTTTACTTATCAAGGTTGATATTGTTGAAAATAGCAATAGCTGGAAAGGAAAGCGGTGTAGTTCTTACGCTGATCCTCATATGAAGACGTTTGACGGAATGTATGTTTCAATACTTTTCATCCTTTAAATGTAACTTGGAGTTACACTCTTCTCTATAAAGGCAAAATGGAAAATTCAATCTTTGAACTTTCTTTTTATGTATTATTTAAAACAAATTAAAATAACGAAGTAACTTTTTACATATTGCTTAATGAAGACAACTAAAAATATTGCAGTTAACAAATTACTTCCTATTCAAAAAACAGAAACCTTAAGAAAATTTTGGATGAGACGAATGAAAGGAGTGTTAATTCTAATTTGATACTGTTTCAGCAGGTGTAAACTAAAAGTAAATTATTATTCATTTATCTTTTTCAACATTGTATTTAGATCATACGAATGTCAAAAAGGTGGATGCGTATCGGGAACAACATACATGCTTTACGAAAACAAGCAGCATTTACAGCAAGTATGACTATTATTTTATTTCTTTATTGCTACAATTAGTCATTTTTTTTAATTACAAAACCCACAGATATAATTTATTTGTTAACCCCGATATATGATTGCATATGCAGTATAATTTAGCAAAACTGGATATTTACAGTTCTGGAAAAAATGTTCAGATTAGACAAAACCAAGAGTGCAGGAAAAATACAGAAATATATTTGGTTTCTTTAGTATTTGTAGTTTTGAATACAAGTACGATGTATTTGCTGGAAAAATATTACACGTTGATAAAACCCTCGGAAATTCCTACAACGAAAAACATATCAAAAAGGACTTGCTGTTGGTGTTTCCTTTCATTCTTAAGGCTCTTAACTTAAAACTCAACATGAAATGTAAACAAAGTCATACCAATGTCAATCACCAGTTTTATAGCTCAAAAATAAATTCAACATGAACGTATTGTGTTTCCTTACAATTAGATTATTACTGAAATTGCATTTAAGTGTTATGTAAACATTCAAGGAGTCAATATAATTTCTAGGCGCCATTACGAAATTAAATGTTTGAGGTTGATTTCGATTCACAATTTCAACGTATAAATATATAATTAAGGTGGTTGCTACTTAATCTTTGATTAAAATTCATTGAGATCCAAATTAAAAGATGTATCTGAGTTAGTGTGTTACACAAAATTTATGTAATATTCACTGGATGAAAAATACAGTTTCCGCATGGCTGAAACTCTACTGAAACTCTGCGGAAACTTAAGGTTACTAATAGTTTCCGCAAAATTTCAGTGCGGAAACTTCAAGTTTCATCAAGTTTCTGCAGTGCGGAAACCAAAGGTGTCCACGAATCCAAATAGTTTCCGCAACTGAAACTTGCTGAAACTTGAGGTATACGCATGGTTTCAGTATGCGTATATGGTTGAAATACATATGGTGTACCATTGGTTTCCGCAACTGAAACTTGCTGAAACTTGAGGTTTACGCAAGGTTTCAGTATGCGTATACGGTTTGAATGCATATGGTGTACCATAGGTTTCCGCAACTGAAACTTGCTGAAACTTGAGGTTTACGCAAGGTTTCAGTATGCGTATACGGTTGAAATACATATGGTGTACCATAGGTTTCCGCAACAGAAACTGTACTATAAATTATACAATTTAGCCCAGCTTTTCAACCAAAACTCATTTTCCCCCTGAATTTTCATATTGGAAAAAACAAAACACACTCACACTAATTATCAAAGAATATTTAATATTATTATCAACATTTACATACATTGGCTTGGCCATTTATTTTCTCTTGCATCATAAATATTTTTACAACTAAGTCCGAGCTCTCATGTCACAACAGGAGGACAGAGAAAATGTCTGCATTTAATGATGTCTCATACATGAGAGATATAATGTTGCGAGAGGAACTTAGAACTGCAATCAATCAACTAAACCTGAATTCGGTATAAGCAAGTCTAGTATCATCAAGGAAATGTAAAAGTACTTGGTATAATAAATGCACAAGTTCACATCATTAGTAGCCAATAAGCACCAAAGTGGATTTCTTTGTTAAATATTCAGTTTGTAGTCCATCATCAACCAACAGAAAAGTCCTTGAGTGGTCCACATTTTTGAAGACCCACTTGCACTTCAAGTTCAAGTTGGATTGACCTATTGAAAATATATAAAAATATAGTTTAACAAAATCCCAATCTAAATAAAACAACATGTTAGATCCTCTTGCATACTCGCTACACAACATCTAACAGCATCCATAGAAGGTCATGTCAAATGTCAAATACGGAACAACTCAGACTCTAGACTTATTCATTCCAATAAATTAAATACAATAATTTTTGCATTCGAGTATTTGATTGGTTAATAGAATCTAACGTCTGACGTGACACTCTACAGGATGCCATTAGATTTTAGCCAATATGTGCGCAGATCTAACATTTAATTTTAATAAGATTGACAAACTGAAAGTTCCTAAAACTGTTCTAGCACAAGCCTTTGTTTGATTAATTTCAGATTTTCAGCATTTTTGATCAGAATGATTTAAAATAAAATCTAAAAATTTATCAAGTGTAAAATCTCATTATTTAGTTTATTAAAGTTGCCTCTTTTACAAACTTGACAAGGGATAATGAAATAAACAAACTTTAATGTATTTAAATGTACTGAATAAGTATGTATGGATTTGTTTCTGATAAGATTTTCAGAGTAAATTAAGGATTTTTTTCTTCATTTTACTTGTTCATCAAAATATTTTTTGTACCCCTAACCTAGACCCTTAGACCATGATTCATGATATTTGAATAACAACTAGAGGCCCACAGACCTTATAGGTCACCTGAGTATCATGTAAAGCCTAGAAAAAAAATATGTTTGTTCCCGACTGACCCTAATATATAGTGCCGACCCTAATTTTTTTTTAATGCTTTTGTCCCATGAAGTGCAAGATTTCACCCAGGGATTTATAGTCTCCAACTTTGCAAGCTTTTCAACATGTTAAAGACAGAAAGAAGTTTGAGTTACCTTTCTTTTAAGTCACAGAAATGCTTGAAAACACCATTTCTTTTGTCATTAATGTTACTTCTATACACTTTTTCATTCAAGAAGCAAAAAAAAAAAATGTTTCAAAAAAAAAAATAATTACCTTCCAATATCTACCTATATTCTTTCAGCCTGAAAGGGGAAACAAATATTTTTTTTCTAGGCCTAACAACTTCCACTCAATTGAGTTTTGTTCGTAATTTAAACAAAAAGCCATGAAATTCACAATTTTGAAAGACGCACCTTTGTTTATCATAATTATACACTTAGTTAACATGCTTACTTTGGTTACTAAATACCCAAAGGTAGATCAGAGTAATAAAGATACAATGCAATTCCATTTTATAACCACCAGTTGTGTACCCCACCCCACAGGAACCACTAACCCTGGGGCCACACATTTCAAAATTTACTAAATGTTTTCATAGGTTTCATTTCATCTTAAATGGTTTGATTAATTCCAAAAAGCTATAAGACCCACCCTAATACTAGAATCCCTTACCCTGGGGTCATGGATTTCATAATTATGGTAGAGGACTCAATGCCGATTACAATCATACCAACAGTTTGACTGCTTGATGTTCAGGAGGGGAAAAGAAGAAGGGGATTTTCAAAGATTGCATGAATTTTAGTGGTTTTGGTCCCACCCCTCAAGCCCGCGGGGGGAGGGGGGATAAAATTTATAAATTTTGTTCCCCTTCACCAAAATTGGCTGAAATTGGTTGAGCGGTTGCAGAGAAGCTGAAAATCATGATAATAGTTATCTTAAATAAATCATACAATTTTAGTAGGTAGCTCGCAAAATGAGACTTTCTAAGAAAATGTTAACATCTGTTTATTTCATGGAAACATATAAATATATTATATAAAACTTAAAAAGTAGAGGAAAGCAGCTTACATGTTAACCCCCCCCCCAACCCCACAACACACTGACTATGATCATGACGATAAATACTAAATAGAGAGCTTAACATGACACAGTGAGATTAACAAAACAATAGAAAGTAAAAACATAAACTTTATGCTTTAGTCCTTAATATCCTAAAATAGAGCTACATAAAGTATATTAAGTTCTTACTCACTGTTAAAACATACCTTTTAACAGAAGTATTCTTCATCCTCTCCTATTAGCCTTAGTTTTCAGACGATTTGTTCAGTGGATATCTGAAATTAAAATAGATCAAATTAGTACAGTACCGTACATTAATAACTGTTTTTGTTTTTAGCATGAGCTAGGAAAAGTTCCAAAAACCACTTGCATGTCCATTTCCTTGCACCTGACATTCAGTTAAAATTCTAATAGACACATGACAAAGAAAAAAAATGATGAAAAATAGGAAGTGGGAATAGCTAGAAGACACCTTTAAAAGTTCTTGAAAAGCAATTATATCTGAGAGTGAGAAAAATTAAATAAGTTACAATTTTTCATAAAAGCAAGACTACATCTAAATTATGTTTGTTTAAGATATGTAGGCCTTCTTTGATTCAAAATTATAATCCATTTAATACTTTATTTTCTTTATTCCATTTTGCATAAAGGGCAGATAACTATTTATATAATAAGACAGAACTATGACTCTTTAGTGGCCATTGTTGAAAATTGATTTAATTAGTGATAGAAATATGGCAAATGGTAAACAGCTATAAACAGAGAGATTACAAAAATCTTATTTGTGTATCAGTCATTTTATCAAGTCAATAAAATTTAGAAGTCATATAGACGTAAAAGTATTATGTCAAATTTTCATAATGGGTCACACAGTGTGGCCCAGTGGTTAGAGCGACATGCCTCAAGTTGGGAAGTAGGTGCTGATTCTTACATCACGGGTCTGAATCCAATGTAGTACATAGAGACCTCTCTCTCGGATGAGAGCAGAGACTGTGTTGGTGATGTATCCACATGAATAAAAAGTTCTCTAAACGGATATCATAATTTCTACGAGCAACAAACAAATACTAGTATATGACTATATAATATCAATGCATGCAACTTAAGAAATTGATAATGGCCAATTGCTCATTTCATCAAGCTCCAGTCTATCATAATGCAGAATTTATATACAGGTAAACAATAGCTGTTCTGTTGATATCAAGAGAATCATGTTTATGGTTAATATGATTTAAAAGTAATATTTAGAAACTGCACGGTGCAGCATCACATTTAATATTTGAAGCCCAGGGTACAAAAATAACATACGTATAATTTCTAATGAAGAATTAAACCATGCACACTAAATCAAGTTTCCGGTTGCTTCAGTAGTCTTATTTATTTCATATAGATCAAAACATGCATATGTGTCAACATGAAATTAAAATTTAATTTAAAATAAATATCATTTTAAGTTTAATTCATCATAATTATGCCTTGTAAGAAAAAATGCTTATGTATCTTTGTATATAAATAGTTTATTCACTTTCGACATTTGCTTTAAAATCCTTATGTATGGTATGAAAATAAAATACTTCAACTTGAATAATGTGCGGCATTATGAAAATTATCAAGTCACTTTCATAGCCCAAAAATCTGCAAGTTCTCAGGAATTTTACTTTCATGACTACAACATGTACAAATTGGCATTTCACAGTGATACAATACTACACGATGGTATTCTCCCATCATGATGCCCTCTTACATGTCTAATATTTACGATTCTAGATTGCATGTATGTTAAAAATATATTGAACCCCTTCCTCAGCTGTGCAGCACAGTCTTCCATCAATAATAAAAACAATTCAGCAAAAAATAAATGTACGATTCAAGAAACTACTTCTGAGAATAACATTGAACACATCCAGCAGCTATAATGAACAATAAAGCTCACCTTTTCTGAAAAAACATAAGGTCAAATTTTTCGATTTTCCAAATGAAAAAGTTAACACCGGATACAAGTACATAACGATATTATCCTCTAAAACCAACCTACATTTAAAATTCCGGAATACTACAACACGTTGTAATTTTTAAATTATGTAAATTTTACATGATCGGGACGATGCAGAATACGAAAAACATGAAAGTTAAATACAATGGTGCACAATACATGCATGCGTTTAAACAGCAGTTAATTATATGTATAACAACCTAAGCTGGGAATGATTTACAAGGCGCTTTTTCACAATAATATTACAACTGTACAATGGTCATTTTGAATTTTTGGAACGCGCTATTTTAGGTCAACATTATTCTTACGATTTCAGACGATAAAAACAGAAATAAAGATGCTCTGAACTCTAACAAATAACTACCTGTATCTAATCTGCCGTTTGGGGTGCCTTTCTTCAGTGTAGATTCAAAAGATCTTCTCATCTCTGTTGTTTTTCTTGAGCAAATTCTTGGTGTTTTCTTCGCCATTTTGTCCTTCTTTCTTCTCTGAAAATCTAACCAATGAGAGAGAAGCATTCTGCCGCGATATGCCACCTAGTGATTCAAATTCTTTACGGAAAATTCAGTTTAGTTTTTGCATTTCTCTTTTGGCAATTTTTTTTTTTACGTTTTAAATGCAAATGTCCTTGTATATAATTATATTGCAACAGAATGAACAGTTTTGAATGATAAAATAAAATTGATCATGGAATCGAAGGGGATAAAAAGCGAATTTTAGACCTTTATTACATGATTATGGTAATTGTTGAAACGGACTCCGAATTAATGTCCTAATGTTTTCAAATAGAATGATTTAAAGTCACATGTACACATGTACTTCGATTATTGTAATGTTTAAAAAAAAAAAAAGAAAAGAAAAGAAAAAAGAAAATGGTATACAAGTCAACAAAGTTATGCTGATGGCATATTAACCACATATGTGCAACTCAAAAGCAAAATTGGGGTTATAAGAATTATTCATCAATTGTTGAAAATTTTCTAATCAGAAAATATCAACATGAATGTACAAGTCTATTAAGTGGGGAGATTTACCAATATTTCTCCCGAAGATCGATTATGTAGATGTAACATTCATTTTGTTTTTATAACATTGTCATGTAAAAAAATAATATATATATATATATATATATATATATATATAGGGGCCTATATGATCGTCAAACATGCCCCCCCCCAAAAAAAAAAATATCTCAGTTTATTAATAGTAAATATCCATACTTCTCAGTTTTAGATGATGAACCCAAAAAATATTGGTCACTCAATACAGAAGATACGGAAACTCTTAATTTTGCAGGCAAATTTATATAAATCACACCTCCCAACCTTATTAATATGCAGGGTCATGAACCCAAGGGAGCATTCATTGCATCAGATATTTTCTTTAAACAAGGAAAGACAACTCAAGATTTTCTTTGATGGTATAGTCAGTTTCTTTTATCAATTTATATACATTTAAATTGTGATAAATTGGGGGGGGGGGTATTGTGAGATATGTTTCATTAAGATCACTTCTGGTCAATTTTTATGAAGAATAAGTAAAACATTAAGACAGTGTATTTTCAGTATGAAATACTGCATAGGTATATGAATGTGTTCACTAAATTTCTGTTTAATAAATACAGGTAAATTGAGTTTCAAGTATACCTGATTTCACATAAGCTACATATCTGCAGCTACTAGCTATATATAGTACATGTAAATATTTCTGGAGGGTATCTATCTACATTATCATATTCAGTTATTAATTTTTTTCTGTTAACTAAATTCAACAAAAATAATGTAAACTGATATGCACACCATTTATATATCATGACTCATATTGAATAAAAGACAAAGTAAACAAACAGCATGCAATCATGTTTTTATTTACAAGAAATTTACTAAGCACTACATGTAGACAGACAATGGAATGTTCAACAACAAATAAGTTGTATATTGCAGACATATGTTATAATAAAGATTATGCTGTTTAAAAATGAAGTAAAAATTTATAAATCAATATTTAGATACCCTTCACAAGATCTCCAAATTTTGACTATTTTTAATAAACAAAATTAAGTGTACATGTACATTCTAAATATTTTTTTTCCTACTCAAAAAAATTAAAGTTCCATTTTTTAAAGATAATCAACCTTATAATAAAATTTATAGTTAAAATATTCAAGTGTTTCTTTCTTTACTGGTCTGGTTTAAAATACATGTGTAATTACAATATATAATTAATATAGTTTAACCATGCAATACAAGTGAGAGCTACATGTAGCTATAACCTCCCTTTTTTGCAAACATTTTCTGTACCGTGATTGAATTAAAAAAATCAGTGTTAAGTTATAAATCTTATCTTATCATTTTATAACCTATGAAGTCACCTGTATGACACAGTGGCAAAAGCATCTGCTCGAGAGTCATGAGTAAGGAGTTGATCCATAAATTGCTGGTTCGAAATCCCACAGTCGGACATAGATGAGACTGTAGATAAAGAGGTCCTGTGTTGCAGTAGGTGCTAGTACCAAAAAGATCCCTCATTGCTCATAATGCTCAATTAGCCATGTGTGCCAAATAAAGGACAAAATTTGCAGCTCTCCACCAACAAATTTTTGTATCCCCATATGAGTGAAAATTTCTCAAGAAGAATGTTAAACAACGTACAAATAAACAATAAACTATAGAGTCTTTGAATATGCAAATTCTTTTTTTCTGAGAAAGGGATCCTCAAATGATGTCTAGATATGGTTTATATGAGTAGAAAAGTACTGTATCATCCCAGCTAGTCTTCATGAATTCATTTGTTATATGGCCTGAAAAATATAAAATGTTAAATCATTAACATAAAAGTATATGATTGATATTTTTATAATTCATCAAAAATTAATTGAATCAATAAAATAAAGTCACACTTGTTATCTTGAAATGCTCATGGGACTGCTGAAAAAAAACTGAGATATGCAAGAGATTCAGGGTAAGATATATAGAAAAAATGTCGTTCAAGGGACTTTAAAATGACTTTGATATCTCAATGTGTTCAAAATATCACTCAGTGTCAACTGTCAAAGATATATACCAAAGTTCAACTCTAAACAGAGTATATAAATTCATATACATGTATGCCATTTCGGCTGCTAATTCAATCTATAATTCTTCATTAATAATCTGCATGAGAAAGAGATATGCGCAAAATGAGCAAATTAAATTAACAAAAGTAAATCATATATATGCTATTCCAAGTGTTTGCAAATCATTCATCCACTTTGTAATACTGTCATGAACATCAACATACCCTAGGTAGTCAAAGTTTTTTTGATTTTAAGATACTGTTGTTTAACTGTACTTATTTAGACTGCACTGTATTCACTTGTTTCACAACAGTACACATTTTTCACATGATCTGAAATCCATCATTACTATCATGATGAGAGTTATGCCCCTTTTTTATAACCCCAAAATATTGCTTTCTTTCTGAAAATTGTAGCTTTTTTGACCTTACATAGATATCAACTAAAGTATCCATAAAATAGGAATTTAAATTATGAAAACTTATATTATTTTAATCTCTACTCAACTTAAAAGCCAAGAAATAAACAAAATGATTTTCCAATATTTACATAGGATATTTACATCGAGATAAACATTCTTTTTCTAATTATGGCACCCATTACCCTTGATTCTGAGATTCTGTACTAGGATGTATTCATTCAAAAAATATGATGTATCGTGGCCCTGATAATCTTGAATGTTTCAGCCTTAAATATTCCAGAATAAAACTTTGACTCCACACTGTGGACCCACCCTACCCTATAGCTATATGATCTGAACAAATCTAAATCTGCTCTTAACTATCTCAGAGTGACTAATAATGACCTGTCTACTCTTGAAAAGAATTAAGATTTAATTTTTTGTCTATGGATTACTATTGTTCTCTCTAATTTATTGCTGTACTCTATATACATCAATAACATATCATCACCAGTAATCAACATACCTTCTCTTTGGACTTGACATCCTTTCCTAGATTCTCGTGGTTGAAGCTTTCATCAGATAATTTGTTTTGTTACAGCTGAACTACAAATATGATTAATAAGTTAATACAATCCTCTACATTTAATTAATCCAAATAAAATACAAGCATTTGCAATAATGTGGAAAGAAAAATGAATGAAAAATACTGACAAATATCCATGCACTACATGCAAATCAGAAAAAATATGTAATGCAATCATTTACAATTTGCATAATATGCTGATTATGTATCAGCATAATTTTCAGTTCATTAAATTGTTTGCTGAAACAGACAACCAACTGTATTTATAAATTCTCTTTTAATGGATTTTCTTCTGCCTTTGAACTTACATGTACTATTATGCAGCATGATAATGTGAGAATTTTTTCACCCATTCTTTATTACCAGGCATTAAAGTATCTGCTGAAAATAGAACATAATGTGATTAAATCTTTTGAAAATTAAACAAAAACAAAAATCACTGATGCATGATTTTCAATTATATTGACCCTTTTATCAGCATCTCTCTTTCTCTAACTATATATAACTTTACACAGGATTCTTTTATACATTGATATACCTGTACATGTAGATATTGTAGTAATTAGGCATGCTTAGTATTTTTTATTTGTTTATTCCAATTAGCATGATCAGGATGATAATAATTAAATAATAATGTTGCATATTAAATATGTTATACCTGTGTAATTTTATCCTTACAGTTACATATACAATACTCACAACAGGCAAACCTTGAACTTGCACATCACTGTCTTCAGAGTATATCCATAATTCTGCAAGAAACATTTGATCATTGCACAATTACAAATGAATTGATTTGATTTTCTTTTTTAAAAGTTTATATTTGCTTTTTTTGTTTTATTCTAATGAAATTATAATTTTTGTGCATTTAATACAGTATCATCACTATCATGTGCATACATATTGAAGACCATTCTTAAATTCAATCAACAATGTCATTCTTCAAAAGAAAAGACATAAAATGTAAAGATCAGGGAAGCCCATATTATAAAAGTGGAGAAAATAAAATAAATTTTCTTGTGTGTATAATTTATGTGGGATGGTGCATATCATTAAAAAACAAACAACAAAAAAGGACGGAATGTCTCAATAGCTGAGTGACAGGAGATAGTGATATTATGATGATCTGACCAGTAAAAAGCCTGAGTGAGCAGAAAAAGAAAACTATTTCTAGCCTGGGCCTACAATGATTTTAAATTTGTGCTTCATTATACATTTTCTAAATTCAATAATGTTTGTTTATTTGACCTTATGGGGTCAATTGTGTTATTTTTGTCATACCTGGAGATTGCTGTTCAAAATGTACTCTGCAGCTGTACCTGCAATAGACAAACAAAAAAGAAAATTATTTTTTATTTAACACATTGAAATAATTAAACAATATGTAAAATAAATACATGTATTCTTACAAACAAAAATGCAAAACATCAATGTAAATTACTTTTAGCAATTATCTTTTCATTACACAGTTTGATGCATGCATGCATGTAATTTATTATACCCCTGATTGATAAGCGGGAGGGTATATTAAGTAATTGGTATGTCTGTCTGTCTGTTATGCTTTGATGTACCCATCTCTTATC